TCAAGGCTAGGGCTCTACCACTTGAGCCATAGCGCCACTTCCGGCTTTTTTCTTTTTGCTTATGTGGTGCTGGGGAATCGAACCCAGGGCCTCAGGCATGCAAGGCAAGCGCTCTGCCACTGAGCCACCTTCCCAGCCCCGACCCTGAGATTCTTATCTCCAATTATTACCAAAAAGTTGGAAGATTAGTTGTGGATTGAGTGGTAGAGTGCTCAGAGACAGGGCCAATGCCCTGAGTTCAAGCCCCAGGATTGGCAAGAATAACAACAACAACAACAAAAGAATTAATTGTGCTTCTTGGTGAGGATGGTGGCCATGCTGGAGAGAGGAGAGGGGAAGGGTGGAGGCTGAAAACAAGGGATGGGGAGGGAGGAATCATCTTCTCTTGAGACAACAGGGAGGAGAAAGGGTTAGATGTGAATGTGTTGAGGCACAGAGTTTAGGTGATACTGGTGAATATTGTTACAGTCAGAACAAACACCATAATCTGCAGGAGCTGGTGGCTCACATCTGTAATCCTAATTCTGTAATCCTAACCCAGCCCATGCAGAAAAGAGACTCCATTTCCAATTAATGAGCAAAAAGCTGGGTTGGAGGAGGCTGACATCTGAGGATCATGGTTCAAATCCAGCCTGGCCGGGAAAGTCCCCAAGACTCTTACCTCCAATTAACCACTAAAAAGCAAGAAGTAGTGGAGCTGTGTGGCTCAAGTGGTAGAGCTCTAAGCCTTTGAGAAAAAATATCTAAGGGACACTTCCCAGACCCTATGTTCAAGTCCCAGTACTGGCATATGCATACACACACACACACACACACACACACACACACACAAAGCCAGGCTGGAGGCATGGTTCAAGCAATAGAGCACCAGTTGAGCAAGCAATCCCCAGTACTGGCAAAGTAAACGAAATAAAGTTCTCAACAAGGGAAGTCAAGGATTAGAGAAACACAGAAGGAAGATGCACACAGAAGCCAAACAAAGCAAGGAATTAGCACAGATGGAAATACTGAAGACATGCAAGGGAGCTCAGCAGAGGACAGAGGACTATAGGAGCTGTGGGGAAGGAAAAAGGCAACAGAAAAGCCTTTCAAGAGCTTGCAGTCACTCCTTCCACTCCCTACCTATGCAGACACAAAGTCCCTGTCGGTGGACTTTGGTGTCCTGGTTTTTCTAGGCTCAATCAACTGCCTTATAAACGTACCTTTGTGAGTCCAAAGTTCAGGACACCTTGCCCTAATTTATAAGCAACATACATTTAATCACAATATCCATTTACTCTCAAGAGGTACTGAGATAGGATTGTCTGCGCTTTTTTCTCCTTTTATAATATTTTCTCCTTTTGAATTTTTACTTTTTTTTTAACCATTCATTTGCTTCCCCTCCCATGCTATCTTTGTGTCTTTCCTTCCTGATCCCTCTGTTTGGTAGCCTCTCTGACCTCCACCTCCTCTTTTCCTAGATCCACTGTCAACCACAGGTTTTGAGACTGTACACTTGAGAACCTCTGTACACCAGAGGATCATCATGGCCAGCCAGCAGCTCACCAGCAATCTCCAGGACGAAGTGATCTGCTCAATCTGCATGGACACCCTTCAGGAGCCTGTCACCATTGACTGCGGACACACTTTCTGCCTCAGATGCATCTCTCAGGTTGGAAGCTCATCAGATGAGCTTCTCAAATGTCCCCTGTGCCAGAAGTTTGTGCAGAGGAGCACAATCAGGCCCAACTGGCTGGTGGTCAACCTGGTGGAGAGAATCCAAGCTATTGATCCCTCTGAGATCCAACCAGAAGAGAGAGAGATGAGATGTCCAAAGCATGGAGAAAAGATCCATTACTTCTGTGAGCAAGATGGGGAATTCCTCTGTGTTGTGTGCCGAGACTCCAAGGACCACCGATCCCATAATCCCAGCTTGATAGAAGAAGCTGCCCAGAAGTATCAGGTAGGCATGTGGGGCCCTTTCTCTACCCCATCTTCCTGCCCTCTATCAGAGGAGGATGCAGAAGGGGTTTGGAACTGTTGCCTACTCCAGGTGACAGTTTGGTTTGAATTTGTTGCCCAACTCCTTTGCACTTGAGTGAGCAGTCCGCAGTCAGGTACAGTGGGATCAAGGCATCTGGGAAATATTGCCTTTTTGCAATCAAGGCATGAGGGAGAATGGTCCAGATTTGAATTTTGAATCAGATGGTTTGGATTCCAAATTCAGGCTCTTGAGTTTAAATATGACCATTGAAGAGTCACTTTACCACCTTCAACCAGCCATCCTCACCATTCAGTGGATCAAGTCCAGGTCCTGGCACATGCTATGCAAATGTTCCACCCCGGAGCTATATAAGCTATATCCTCTGCCTCACCTAACAAACTGACCAGGGGGAGCTGGGGATGTAGCCCAGTGGTAGAGTGCAAGCTTGTCTAGCATGTACTAGCCACTGGTCCTTAGCTTCTGAGAGGAAGAAAAAAGGAAGAAGGAAGTGTGGTGAACAAAACCTATCTGTTGACAGACAAGGAAAAGGTTGTGGGAATTCTTTGTTAATCCCCAAATGCCATCTAAATGAATTAGTAACAGAATGAGTCGTGAGTAGCAAATCTTTTCTTTTAGATCATTAAAAGTTCTAGATTTCTCCTGTCCCACTCCTCAGCACCCATCCTACCCAGGAGAGTCTCCCCTGCTCCTCTGAGGGACTTGGGTGGGTTTTAGGAGGTAGAGTAGCGCCTGGTACAGCCTGCCCAAATGGCTCTCCCTCTCCCCTCCAGGGGCAGATTCAGTCAAAGTTGGAAGTCTTGCTGCAAAAGGAGAAGGAAATAATACTAGAGAAGATAAAAGGTGAACAGAAAAATGATTTCTTCCTGGTAAGAAAGAACTTTATTTCTTGTGGTGCTCAGAAACTGTACCATCCAAGCTCCAAAAATCCCTTTTACACTGACCCTCCAAAAAGCATCTATGGGGCTGGGAAAGTGGCTCAATGGTAGAGTGCTTGCCTTGCATGCATGAGGCCCTGGGTTCGATTCCTCGGCATCACATAAGCAGGAAAAGCCAGAAGTGGCGCTGTGTCTCAAGTAGTAGAGCGCTAGCCTTGAGCTGAAGGACAGTGCCCAGGCCCAGAGTTCATGCCCACAACCGATTAAAATATATATATATATATATATATATAGTAATCCCTCTCAAAAAGCATCTATGACAAAGAAGGTAGCACAGAGCAGGGTGAGGTACAGGAAGGTCACACTGGGGACATGGGGGAACCCACAACGGGGCATCGGGGCCAAATGCAAACAGGCTTTTGCTGACTGCACCACTTAACCTGCCTGAGCACCTCCTCACCCCGCCTTGTTGTCTCCAGCCGTGCCCAGGTGGTATAAGGAAACCCACACTGGTCTTAGAATAGGAAATGCTAGTTTTAAAAGCAGGTTCTGGAGCTAGACATCTATGGCTGATGCCTGTAATCCTAGCCACCTGAGAGGCTGAGATCTGAGGATTGCGTTTCGAAGCTGGCCCAAGCAGGAAAGCCCGTGACACTTGTCTCCAATTAACCAGCAAAAAACTGAAAGTGGAGCTGTGACTAAAGTGTAGAGCATTAAGCCATAAGTAAAAAAAGCCACACAGGAACAAAAGGCCTTGAGTTCAAGCCATAGTCACACACACGCACACACACACACACACACACACAGTGTACCATGCTCTGCCCCTCCCAGATCTACACACACACACACACACACACACACACACACACAGAGTGTACCATGCTCGGCCTCTCCCAGATCTTCACTGGAGAGACTGATTCTCCATTTAGAAATGCCACCCTCTACTTTCACCTGTTCTGTTTTGTTTTGTGTTTGGTGCATCCAAGGGAAAAAAAATCTATGTAAGAGCAAGTGGTAAATAAACCAAAAAGCCTCAGGAAATGTGAGTTTTAGACACTTAGATCCTTGAAGGTAAAGTTATCAACGTAATTCAAGCCAGGCACCAGTAGCTCACACTTGTAATCCTAGCTACTCAGGAGGCTGAGAGCTCTGAGGATTGCAATTCAAAGCCAGCCCAGGGGCTGGGAAGGTGGCTCAGTGGTAGAGCGCTTGCCTTGCATGCATGAGGCCCTGGGTTCGATTCCTCAGCACCACATAAGAAAAAAGCCAGAAGTGGCGCTGTGGCTCAAGGGTAGAGCGCTAGCCTTGAGCTGAATAGCTGAGGGACAGCGCCCAAGCCCAGAGTTCAGGCCCCATGACGAGACCAAAAAACAAAAATCAAAGCCAGCCCAGGCAGGAAAGTCCGTGAGACTCTTATCTCCAATAAACCACCAGCACCAGAAGTGGCGCTGTGGCTCAAGTGGTAGAGCACTAGCCTTGAGCTGAAGAGCTGAGGAACAGTGCCCAAGCCCAGTATTCAAGCCCCATGACCGAACAAAACAAACAAAACAGAAAAAAAAAAAAGCCCACCTAATTCAATCTAAACCTGAGAACGTGGGAAATGCCTTCACAGTTGGTGCCCCCCCCCTCCTGTCCCGAGAGTCTGCTGCAGCTTGCTGTGTCTGCATTGGCAGTCAGAACAGAGTTGAGACACTCCCTACTTGAAGGTCAGCTGGGAGGACCTGGGAGGCCGCCACCCTCCCATCTCCACATTCTTCCCCTTGTGCCAGAGCCAGGTGAGGCTGGAGAAGCAAAGGATCAATCAACATTTCAGATTCCTGCGGCAGAGCCTAGAAAAGGAAGAGAATTTCTTCCTGGCCAGGCTTCACTGGCTAGAGATGGAAGGAGCCAAGGGGAAGTTGTTCTACTCCATTTCTACCCAGGCACAGCTGAACTCGCTTGAGAAGCTCATCAAGTCCCTGAAAAACAAGCAGCAAATGCAGCCCAGACAGCTGCTGGAGGTGGGTTTCTTGGAGCAGCACTACCCAGAGGTAGCAGTGCATCTCCCCCCTCCCCGTCTCAGGCCTGCACATGGACCAGCTGACTGACTGATTGCTGAGACTCTCGCACCCACCTCTAGTCTGTGAGCAAGAAGATATGAGCCCCACATACGATTTAGAATTATACTGAGGTCCAATGTGTGATGTAGAAACATGTGAGCCACATGTGACATCTAGAAATATAATCGGAACCACATATGTAATTTAGAAATACATTTCAGTCACGTGTGGACTTCCACTTTTTTTTTTTTAGTGGCCACAATAAAAAGATGAAAAAGATACAGGTAAAGCCAGTGATTCATGTGTATAATTCTAGCTACTCAGAGCTGGAGAATCATGATTTGAAGCCAGCCAGGGGCGAAAAATCCCTTGAGACTTAACTAATGAACCAGCAAAAAGTGGAGCTGGAGGTATGGCTCAAATGGTAAAGTATCAGCTTAGCATGTATGAGGCCCTGACTTCAAGCCCCAGTTGCCATCACAGGAAAGAAAGGAAGGAAGGAAATAAAAAAGAGAGAGAAAGGGAGGAAGGAAAAGAAAGAAGGAAAGGAAGGAAGGAAGGGAGGAAGGAAGGAAGGAAGGAACTCATGCAAAGCCATTACATTGCTCTGATCCTGCTTGCAAGTCTCCTGACTCAGTCTCAGAGACAAAATTCATCTTTTTTTTTTTTTTTTGGTCCGTTGTGGGGCTTGATTGAACTCTGGGCCTGGGCGCTTTCCCTCAGCTCTTCAGCTCAAGGCAAGCGCTCTACCACTTGAGCTACAGCGCCACTTCTGGTTTTCTGATGGTTACCTGGAGATCAGAGTCTCACGGACTTTCCTGCCTGGGCTGGCTTTGAACCATGATCCTCAGATCTCAGCCTCCTGAGTAGCTAGGATTACAGGCGTGAGCCACCAGCACCTGGCACAAAATTCATCTTTGGAACCTCACTTATTTTGTTCTTCTTGAGGTGTTATCATAGTCCTGTGTACTGGTCTATCAAGAGCTTCTTGGAGCAGCCCTCCAAGTAGTGGGGGGGGGGGGAGGAGGGAGGGAGAGACCCTGAGATGTTCATACTCTACTTCCAGGAGGGTCCAAACCTCCTCCTTGGTTCCCATGCTCTATTCAGACGCTAAGGCTCTGCTATCTGTTTCTCTTCCAGGACATCAAAACTCTCCTGTCCAGGTATGGTAGAACACCCAGAGCCTAGCGCTTCCTGAGTCACTCATGTTCCTAGCACTCAACAGAAATCCAAACACACCCTACCTCCTCTGCCATGAATACCCATGCACTCTGCAGCCAACTGTTGATGCTTCAGCTAGACACTTGAGCATAGGGGTTGGTGGGCAAAGAAAGCTGTTTTCTCTGGCTTTCTGGCTCTTCAGCATACAGTCTATTTCCTGGCACCTCCTACATGTCCCTTGCTCGTTTTGGTAGGGCCTAGCACCCTTGCTCACTCAATCTCTCTCTGTTCCCCTCTTTCCCTTCTCTTCTCTCTGCAGTCATATGCCAAGTCCATTTCCACATTCCCTCAAGTTCATTCCCAAATTCATTCTGGCCCCATGTCCCTGGCCTGGCCCTCCCCACCCTCAGCTCATTCCCCCCCCCAGACAGTCTTCCATCCCTGTGTGTCTCCCTCCCCATCCTACGATCTAACCACCCAGCTCAGCTATGTATTTATAGGATCAACGTATTTCAATTTCTCAACCCAACCCCAGTTCCTGAGGGGCTGGAGAAAAAATTCAACGAAGCAAAATCCAGTCACAATGTCATCACAGAGAACTTGAGAAAATTCAAAGGTAAGGAAAAGGCTGCCAGCGCCCTGAGTTGCCAACTGCTGTAGAGGATTATGTCCCCATCACCCCAGGTGACCTGTAACTCCTGGGTGCTGGCAATCATCACTGGATCCTTCAAATGCCAGCTTGTCTAGCAACACTCTGCTATCCTTTTGCTCTGTTGTCTGCCTTTGCTTTCTTGGCATAGCCATGGAGGGGACCTGAACTTCCTTCTTCCTCAAGAGGGCGCTCTCCTCAGTGCAGTGGCTGTCAGCAATCTGGTGTTTATTTGTCTGGGGGACACAAAAGGGACAATGTTCCATTCCTCAGTACCATATAAACAGAGAAAGCCAGAAGTGATGCTGTGGCTTAAGTGGTAGAGTGCTAGCCTTGAGCAACAGAAGCTCAGGGACAGAGCTCAGGCCCTGAATTCAAGCCCCAGGACTGGCAAAAAAAAAAAAAAAAAAAAAGTGCTACCTTCCTGAGACACTAAAGCAGAGGGGGTGTTTAATGTCTGGCAAGGGGCTCTTCCTGGCTACATAAGAAGAGAAATATCCATTGGAAGCTGATGATGTTTTGAAGGAAATATTTCTACCTCCTTTCCAGGAAATAGAAGCTAACCAGATCGCAGATCACAGCTGGATAGACAGGGGCATAGATGTTCTGTCAGGTAGTTTTCAAACTTGTCTAGGTTTGCAGTTGGGAAACCGAGCTGGCATGTGTGAAGACTTTTTCTTTTCTCTCTTTTCTTTCTCTTTCTTTCCTTCCTTTCTTTTTTCTTTCTCTCTCTCTTTCTTTCTTCTTTCTTTCTTTCTGTGTTGGTCCTGGGGCTTGAACTCAGGTCCTGGGTACTGTCTCTGATCTTTTTTTGCTCAAGGCTAGTGCTCTACCACTTGAGCCACTTCTGGCTTTTTCTGAGTAGTTTATTAGAGATAAAAAAGAGTCTCATAGACTTTCCTGCTCAAGGTGGCTTTGAACCCTGATCCTCAGATATCAGCTTCCTGAGTAGCTAGGATTACAGGCATGAGCCACCAGTGCCTGCCTGTGAGGACTTCTTTTACTGCTTCTTATCCTGTACTAAGCTAGGAGCAGACAGCTGAGTAGAGTCTTCTTTCTAGAAAGATCCCAGGAGTCCCATACCCCTTTCCCAGAACAGCATTTTGATCCTGCCAACTTTGCTTATGTTTAAGCTTTGCTTTCTGGCAATAACTGCTCTGTGTTTCCCAGTGCCTCCAGCCCATCACATATAACTGCAACAAACAAGCAACTTGACAGACACTCAGGTCTAAAGCATTTGGTTTCTGTGTTAGAGTTTTAGAGGAGGATATCCCTGCAGATTTGGGAGGTAGACATGCTCTATCATCTTCTCTATTCTGTGTGTGTGTGTGTGTGTGTGTGTGTGTGTGTTCCTCTATATCTTTCTCTATCTTTGTTTCTCTCTGTCCCTCTCTCTATGTGCCTGATTGTCCATCTGTCTGTCACACACTCATACACCCCCCACCCCCACCCACAGAGTCCCCAACTCCCACCTGGGCCAAGGAATGAGGGAATGGAGAAGTGACAAGGAGTCTACTTACACCATGGGTCCAATCTCCATGGTTCTCTCTGCTGAAGCTCACTGCTCCACGTTCGGGGATTCCTGGGCATGGAAATTTGGGTGTGAGAATGCCTGGACTTCAAAGTGTGTCAAGGGCCACATAGATGTGGTGCTCCCAGACAGTTTCTTCTGGCTGTCATTCGGCTGATCCCTCACATGCAGGTCACTGTGTCTCTCCTGGCTCTTCTCCATAGCTGAGCTATTAGCTCTCAGGGGAGCTGCCCACCATTCTCCCTCTGTGTCCTCCTGCAGCTGGTGCTTGGCACAGAGACCACAAGGAACTCAGTCTAGCACTCTCACAAGAAACCTAGGCCAGGCAGGAACCATTGTCCCTGAAGGAAAAAACGTAACCTAGGTAGAAAGTTACCCCCAAAGAAAGTAATGCAACAAACCACATGGACAGAAGTCAAATAGAAGAAAGGTGTATTGCCAGCAGAGCTAACAAGGCCAAGTGCTCTTGAAGAAAGGGAGAAAATGATGCTGTCTGGCTCCTTGGAGGCCCCTTTTATGTCACTGGGGCAGGAAGTGGGAGGTGCCTCACCTACTGCGCAGGGGCTGCCATCGAGATGGGAGCTTGGGTCTGCAAGGTGGGCCTTTTCTTAAGAGTCCTCAGTTCTAGGCCCAGCCTTTCACTGCCCAGAGGAGTCTCTGGGCCCTGCCTATCAGCAGCAGGAGTGCTGTGGGCAGGCCCTCCATGTCTGCTCTGGGAGGAAAGGGCTGCCCATCAGGAGCTTGATTCCTTTTCCCCTTAAACACTCTCTCATGGAGAGAAGGGTGGAATTACCCTGCAAGCACCAGAATGTGGGACAAGCTCCCCCCGCCACTCTTACTGCACCCTGCACCTGCATGGCAGCTCCACAGCAAGCACAGTGTACCTCTTGTCGTGGCATTTTGGGGATCTTGTTGGTTTTGTCTGCTGGGTGGTGTATACAGGGCTAGATGTATGTACCTGCTAACTGTATGTGCCATCAAACACTGAGACATAGTTCTAATTCAAATAGGCAGCATTTGAGGGTTCCATAAGACTTAGTATGCAAATGGAATGTAAAATATAAGCAATACTTTTCTTCAGTGGTATCTTATTATGTTACCCAGGCTGGGCTTGATGTGGTGGGCTTAAATGATATTCCAGCTTCAGCCTCTTGGGTAAGCTAGGACAACAGGTGTTAGCCACTGAGCCCAGATGCAGCCATACATGTGCACGCGTGCGCACGCGCGCACACACACACACACACACACATTTGGTGGGAGAAGTACTGGTGTTTGAACTCATACCCCTTGAACTATACCCCCTATCCTTTTTTGGTTCTAGTTATTTTTTCAGATAAGGTTTCCAGTTTGTGCCCCAAATTGCCTCCCTGCTTAATCTGTTCTAAGCCTCTCCATGTCCTTCTGTTCTCTACCCCATAGAAAACCTACAGACTGAAAAGAAGAAAGATGAAGCCAGATTCCTCAAAAGCCTGGATGAAAAGGACAAGAAGAGCTGTAAGTGGGGACTGGCGGCTGCTTCTTGTTGTGCGGGGAAGTAGGAATGCAAAGGGAAGGATTCTTTTTCTACAAGAGGTCCCCATATGGGTGCAGAGCCAGCCAGTCAGCTGAGAACAGGTTTATACAGATATGTTTTATTTATTTATTTATGTAGGTTGGTTGTGAGGCTTGAACTTGGGGACTGGGTGCTGTCCTTGAGCTTTTTGGCTCAAGGCTAGTGCTCTACAACTGTGAGCCACAGCACTATTTCCAGTGTTCTGTTGGTTAATTGGAAATAGGATTCTCATGGACTTTCCTACTCAGGCTGGCTTTGAACTGCGATCCTCAGATCTCAGCCTCCTGAGTAGCTAGGATTACAGGTATGAGCTACTGCCATCCAGCTGTTTGGTTTTATGGTGCTGACAATCAAATCCCAACCTCCACATGTGCCAGGGTCACTGGTGCCTGGCTGGCTGTTTTAACTTTGCAACGTTCTGGTAATAAATTTGTTTTCTCTCTCCATTTCCTAGGGAACATGTTTGAGAAAAACAATCCAGAATTGCCCTCCCCAGGTAGGAGTCCTGCCCTGCCCACTGCAGTCTTCCTGTGGGGACCTTAGAGTGACAAATGCTCTATCCCAAGCAGTCAGGAATGTACTGGGAAAGGTAGAGATTACATTGCAGAAATAACTTCCTAATGTGCGAGAGCAAAAGGGGGCGAATTTAAAGACACTGTAAGGAAACGCCCCCCTCGCAGACCTAATCTCCGCCCCCATGCCAGCGCCTGCGCAGTCGGTGAGGCACCGCCCCCTTCTGGCCCCCAACAGCATCAAAGGGTGCCCTGAGGTACCAACCAGGGCATTTCTCTCCCCTCCTCAGGGGAGCTTGAAATCGTTAGCTCTGCTAACGTTAAATCTGGTCTCTCCTCTGACTTTTTCGTCCGCATAGTCTTTGGGGCGCCATTTTTACTTTCATTTTGGGTGCGGAAACCCGGGATCGGTTCCCCAGGGCACGGTCCTCCTCGCTTGGCCTCAGTTCCAGCAGCACTGCGAGCTGCAGGGTGGGGGCTTCTTGTTGGCTCCGCCCACTGACCTCTCATTTCTCTTTTCCTTTTCCCTCAATACAATGAACAACTAAACTCCTCAACTGGCACCATGGCACGCCCCTCCCTCCCCGGGGCCTCCCTTGCTGGGACAGTCACTTCCGTTTTGCTCCAAGCACGAAGCAGGGCTTCTTATGTCGAGGTTCCTCGGGACCGAATCAACTCTGAGAACACCGGGTCGGGGCGGATTGAAGACCCACGCTCAGCCCTGAGTGAGTGACTGAAGATGTCCAGTGTCCCGGGTTAAGCAGAGTGGGGTCAAGTGAGTGGGGCCTCGGGGAGAGGCCGGAGCTACTGATCGTGGAGATGGGATGGTGGTCATGGTGGTGAAGGAATGAAGGAGTAGTTGAGCAAAATCAAAGGAATAGGACCACCCCTGGCTCTGGTGCGTCTTCTTTTTTGGCTTCTTCTTGTTGCTTTGGCTAGGGCTCCCCCTAGTGGATAAAAGCTATCTCTACAACTGTCTCTCTGATTCCTCTTACCGAACCCTCTCTCCCTACCGCCCCCCACTTTTTTTGGTGTCAGTACTGGGGTTTGAACTCAGAACCCGGACACTGGCTTTTTTTCTTTTTCTTTTCTTTGTGCCGGCACTGGGGCTTGAACTCAAGGCATGAAAACTGTCCTTTAGCTTTTTCTCTTAAGGCTAGTGCTTGACCGCTTGAGCCACAGCTCCATTCCACTTGCAGCCTTTTGGTGACTAATTAAGAGATGAATCTCCTGGACCTTCTTGCCAGGGCTGGCTTTGAACCTCTATCCTCAGATTTCGGCCTCCTGAGTAGCTAGTATGATGGGTGTGGGCCACCTGTGTCCAGCACCAACTCTATTTTTAAAAATATTTTTATTGTTATAATAAAGGTCATGTACAGAGTGGTTTGAATTCCGTAATCAGGTAATGAGTATACATTTTTTGGACAATGTCACTCCTCTTAGTTCAACCCCATTTTTTAAAACAATTTTTTAAATTTTTTTTTTGTCGGTCGTGGGGCTTGAACTCTGGGCCTGGGCACTGTCCCTCAGCTCTTCAGCTCAAGGTGAGCGCTCTACCACTTGAGCTACAGCGCCACTTCCAAAACAATTTTTTTGTCAGGCGTGGGGCTTGAACTTTGGGCCTGGGCGCTGTTCCCCAGCTCTTCAGCTCAAGGCACTTGAGCCACAGTGCCACTTCCAGTTTTCTGGTGGTTTATTGGAGATAAGAGTCTTGCAGACTTTCTTGCCCAGGCTACCTTTGAACCATGGTCCTCAGAGCTCAGCCTCCTGAGTAGCTAGGATTACAGGTGTGAGCCACTGGTGCCCAGTAATGCCATTTTTAAACAATTGTTTACCCAAGCAGCATTTCAGCTGTGCATGAGGGCCAAAGTAAAGCTTGCCTATGACTCTAATCCATCTCCAGGAACAAGACCACTGTGACACTTGCCCACATTCCCACATCCTCTCCTCTTATCTCTTCCAAACTCCCACATCCATCAAAGAAAAAACTAATACTGCAGCTGGGCACTCGTGGCTCATACCTGTAATGGTAGCTACTCAGGAGGCTGAGATCAGAGAATCGTGGTTCAAAGCCAGGCCAGGCAGGAAAGTCCATGAGACTTTTTAATCTCCAATTAACCACCAGAAAACTGGAAATGGCACTGTGGCTCAAGTAGTAGAGCACTAGCCTTGAGCTGAAGAGCTGAGGGACAGCACCCAGGCCCAGAGTTCAAGTCCCACAACCAACAAAAACAAACAAAAACCTAATATTGCAGCAAACATTGAGATTAGATAACAAATCAGGAGATAAAATGAGGTCCACATTCCTAAATTTTGTGCCCATGACCTGGAATTCTTCCAGTCTTGATCAGTTTTGACTCCCTGTCTAAATCTAATAAAAATGGGAGGATGAGGAGAGGAGTTCTTGGATATCCCTCCTCCTGTATCTCACCCCTCATTCTTGTGTTTGAGGGGATTTCATGTTAGAAAGTCACAGCAGCTCAGCAAGACTGACCCTTGATTTCTCAAATTAGCACCAAGCCTTGTAAACAGGGAAGAGGTGATTTCATCTTTGAAATGATACCACCATGGGGCTGGAAAGGTGGCTTAGTGGTAGAGTGCTTGCCTTGCATGCTTGCGTCTCTGTGTTTGATTCCTCAGCATCACATAAGCAGAAAAAGCTGGAAGTGGCACTGTGGCTCAAGTGATAGAGCTCTAGCCTTGAACTCAAGAGCTGAGGGACAGTGCCCAAACTCAGAGTGCAGGCCCCATGACCACCACCACCAACAACAAAAGAATGAAATGATACCACCATGATTAGTGGGGTGCTCCCCAATGGAACCACGAAACAGAATATGGTGAAACTTGGGATTAACTTTAAGGAGGGGACAGGAACTCAAACTTCCCTGGGGGCTTGAGCTATATTTGACTGAGAAAGCCTCCCTCCAAATGTGTAAAGGAGCTGGAAAATTAGAGTCAGGATTTCAAGCTGTCCATCTTTCCCCTCATCTCTCCACAGTTGCTGTGACCCTGGATGCTGACACTGCTCATCCAGACCTCAGCCTCTCTCTGGATCGAAAGACAGTGACACTAGACTTTATCCCCCAGAGTGATTCAGCTGAGCCCACGAATCCCAAATGCTTCTATCCTTTCCGCTGCGTTCTGGGTTTACCAGGTTTTTCCATGGGCCGCCAGGCCTGGGAGGTGGAAATCCAAGGGCCCAGGGGTGGGGCCTCTGTGGTGGGCGTGGCCTCGGAACTGGTACCACGGAGGGGCCACTTGCGTCTGGAACCTTTGTTGGGCTTCTGGGCTCTGCGCATCTTTGGCTCAACGTGCCAAGCGCTCATCGAGAATTGTACCCGAAAGGATCTGCCAGTCTGTCCAAGGAAAGTGGGTGTCCTTGTGGATTACAACGACGGGAAGATCATCTTCTATGATGCCACCAACAACAATCACATTTACACCTTCCAAGCCTCCTTTCCCGGGCCGATCTTTCCTTTTTTCCGACTCCTGTTACCAGGCACCCAGGTCACCCTGAGTCCCTAGGGTCTGACCCCCTCACTTTTGGATGTGCCACAGTTGTACGATTGAAGCTAGACTTCCCGAGGCCCTTCTGAAGATGACACGGATGCAGGCTTGATGTTCTGACCCCATTTATAAGTTGTCTCCCCATCCCCCCCTAATATGCCTGGATCGAAAAGAAAGGCTCAAATATCTGAGAAGACTATGCTCATGGCCATTCATTACAGCACTGTTTGTAACAGGACAAGACAGGACCATCAACAGGTAACGTTGGAAAAGCCTTGCTGAGAAAGCATCCTGGTTGAGACTCAGGTGCAAGGCTGGACTGCTGATCTTGGATGCCGCTTTCCTCTCTGCATCGTTTTCTGTAGTCCCTATGGCTTTGAACATGCCTTGATCCATCGGGACCTCATGCTTTCCTGAGATCTGAAAACTAGGATGCTTTTTCCTTTCAGACTCAGGCAGGATTGCTCCAATGCTACTTTACAAATGATACTAGCTATCTATGATTATGCTGCGTTTTACATAGGAAAAAGAGGCATTCAAACATACAGTTGCTTATAGTTCTCTTTTTAAGTAGAAAGACAACCAAAGCCTAGCAAAAAGTTCCTATTAGGGAGAGGTAAAACTAGGTAGAAGGAATGGAAATTAGTCTTTTCTTTTCTTTTTTTTTTTTGGGTCGGTCGTGGGGCCTGAACTCTGGGCCTGGGCGCTGTCCCTCAGCTCTTCAGCTCAAGGCTAGCGCTCTACCACTTGAGCCACAGTGCCACTTCCGGCTTTTTTCTTTTTGCTTATGTGGTGCTGAGGAATCGAACCCAGGGCCTCTTGCATGCAAGGCAAGCGCTCTACCACTGAGCCACCTTCCCAGCCTGGAAATTAGTCTTTTCTAAATAGATTCTTTTTGTATATTTGACTTTGATATCATGTAGATTTTTTACAGCATTGTAAAACAATTTAAATGAGACAAAATTAATCTGTGTAGTTGGTAGCTTACACAACAGGGAGAAATTATTTTAAGTGATTAACTAGCATGGTGCTGTGAGCCTGTAGTTCTAGCCATTTGTAAAGCTGAGGCAGGAGGACCACTTTATAAGTTTGAGACTAGCCCCAGCAACATAGTTAAACCCTTTCACAAAAAGGGGAGAAGGGCTTGGAGGCATGACCTAACCTAAGTGGCAGAGCACCACCCAATGAGCAAAAGTTCAGATCCGGTGTTGGAAAAAAAAAGACACTAAAAGTAATTTTAAAATGCAGCGATTTTGTTACAATTTTAGCAGGGTGTGTCCTAAGGAGCAAAACAAATAACAAATAAATCTTAACTTTTCAGTTATATCAGTAGGAATCACAATAGTGTTGTCATTCTAAATCAATTAGGTTATGTATATACATACATGGTAGGGCAAGGCAAATAATGAATTATGTTAGTGTTACCAGAACTAGATTTTCAACCTAAAAATTAATTTTATCTTATGACTATGACACAAAAAGGAGAAATAAACACACGATTCTAGATTTAAATAGGAAAACTGATTTTTTTTTTAAAAACCTTATGTTGTATTCTCCTTCATAATAAAATTTATTTCTTTGGTTTGATCACAAAGGTCCAAAATTAAGCATTCTAAAACCTGTCATATCTTGATCTATCAGAATTATTTTGACAATTCCATGGAGATGCAATCTGAAAAATCTCATAAGGCAAAGAAACAGTCTCTTCAAGAAAAAAATGTCTGGAGTCTTTGTACAATTAATATATACTATAAAAAAACTGCTGGGGGAAAATAAGAAAAGGGGAGCATACAAACTAAAAGTATACCCAAACCAAACACAATAACAATCTTTTTCAGAGCTTGGTTTAAACTAGTTAATTCTAATTTAATTTTGTTGTTGTTGTTTTGGGTTTTGTTGGTTGTTTTTTTTTTTTTTAGGTGCTGGTATTGGGGGCTTGAATTCAGGGCCTAGTGTCCATGTTTTTTTTTGCTCATGGCTGGTGCTCTACCACCTGAACCATACCTCCAGTCCACCTTTTTTGCTAGTTAAGTGGATATAGTCTCTTGGACTGGCTTTGTACAGCAATCTTCAGACCTCAGCCTCCTAAGCAGCTCAATTTACAAGCATGAACTACCTGAGCCTGTTATAATTCAAAATTCAAATGTATGGAAGACATCAGTAGGTATGAGTCTCTTGATATCCCAGTCTTGGGCAAAAAGCAGGGCAAAAAGTGAGACCCCGTGTGAAAAATAACCAAAGCAAAAAAGGGCTGGGAATGTGGTGTATGTGGTAGAGTGCCCGCCTAGCAAAAGTGAACTGCCTGAGTTCGAACACTAGTAATGCCCCTAGAGATGAACAAAAAACCCAACGGGAGGGAAGGGGAGTTTCTACAACGAGGCATCCTCAAAGCCCAGTCTCTCAGGGTCAATATTTGTGATTGAATTTGACTCAGAACGGACAAATCCATGCAGAGGTGCTTTTTTGATTCTGCCTAACGACTAGGTTTCACCTTGGACTAGGGAGAGAGGTGAATGGAATCCTTCCGTTGCAAAGACAAATCCATCCGCCTTTTCTAGATCCTCAGAAACTAGAGTCATTCCCAGGACTACAGGCACCGTGCTCCGCAGCACCCTGCCCCCCAGCACCCTGCCCCCCAGCACCCTGCCCCCCAGCACCCTGGCCCCCAGCACCCTGCCATCACAACAGAGATCTGGTCTAGAGGTGCCCTCTGAGGAATAAAGTTAGAGGATTTCCTGTTTTCTGGATGATTTTGAAACATTTTAAAGGGACAAAGAGTTTAAACACAGAGCCAACAGGACAAGACGACTGCGCAGAACAAGACGTCCACGATCGATCGCCACCGGAGTTTAAGGTTTTGTGGGTTCCTTCCTCTTCTGCTCTCTCCAGTGGTTGGGTGCGGGTTGAACGACTCGGGGCGGGCGTTCCTGAGCTTGCACAGCTCTCTGGTTGGGACTGGGAAGTGCCAGAGTGAGTGCGGGTTGCCCGGCACGTGTCTCCCCGCGGAGGGCGGGCCCAGGTGCCGGGCGGGAGCCGCCAACGCCCCGGAGCGCGGATTCCAGGAGCGCGCAGTCAGCCCTGGCCAGGCTACTCTGTCCAGTTCCCCCGGTCGCCCGCGAGGCGCCCAGATTACATAAGAAGCTTTGGCTTCCAGGCAAAAGGGACAACTTTGGGCTGGGGACACCCAGGCCTGGGCTAACAAACAACCCTGCTCTCGACGTTTGTTCAGAATCCTCCCTGGAACAGTAGCTTCCTTGCTAACCGTACAAACCAGGACTGTCTTACACTGAGTTCTAAATTCTAACTAACCCTAGATACTCAACACAGACCCCAGAAAGAGTGGGTGTTAACACCCGACTAGACTGAAACTATATCCTGGGCTAGCACTGGTAGCTCACACTGAAATCCTAGCTATTTAGGAAGCTGAGATCTGAGAATCAAGGTTCAAAGCCAGCCCAGGCAGATAAATCTGAGAGACTCTCATCTCCAATTAACCATCAAAAAGCCAAAAGTGGAAGTATGGCTCCAATGGTAAAGAGGGGAAGCTGAACAAGAACTCAAGCTTAAAGGGGAGGAGGAGGAGGAAGGGGGGGGAGGAGGGGGAGGGGGAGGAGGAGGATAGGGAGGAGGGGGAGAAAAAGCCAGGGGTGGTGCTATGGGGGGAGGGGGAGGAGGGGGAGGAGGAGGAAGAAGAAGAAGAAGAAAGATAATTGTCTTGGCCTCTCATCAGAGTTCTGGCTGGTTAGTCAGGAGGGGACTGAATCCTTATCAAGGACTTCTGGTTCAATTCCTTTATCAAGGGTATTTTCTGCCCATCCACATGGTTATAACAGTACCAATGACAATTTGTTTCCAGAGCTTTCCAGTTTACATTACCCCCAATTGCTCCTTTCAACCTCTTGAATTAGTTATCCTCATATTCCTGTTTCAGATGTAATAAAACTCAAATATTTCAACCCCAAGCATATACAAGAGCCATCATGAAAGATAAAAAGTCTCTTAAAATACATGATAGGATAGTTATAACTAATAATTACCTTTTAGTAGTATTCCACCACCCACCCCATACTCTAAACTTTTATGTTCATTTCCTGATTCTATCACAACAAATTAACATAGACCAATAGGTTAAAACAACAGAAGTTACTTTCTCATGGCTCAGGAAGCTAGAAGTCTGTAATCAAATTATGAGTAGAGTCCTGCTCCCTCAGCAGGGTGTAAGGGAGAATCCTTAGATATCTAAGATACCCTCATTCCTGATAGCTTCTGTATTGACAGGCCTTAGCATCTCTTGGTTCATGGCTGTATCCCTCCCGCCTGCCTCCATCTTCACACGGCCTTCTTTCCTCCATCTCTGTGTCCAAGTTTCCCTCTCTTTCTGATTTTTTTTTGGGGGGAGTCAGTCCTGGGGTTTGAACTCTGGGCTTAGGTGCTGTGCTGTCTTTGCACTTTTTTACTCAAGACTAGTGCTCTACCACTTTGAGCCATAGCATTACTGGTTGTTAATTGGAGATAAGAGACTCACAGACTTTTCTGCCTAAGGTGACTTTGAACCATTATCCTCAGATCTCAGCCTCCTGAGTTGCTAAGATTACAGGTGTAAACCACTAGCACCCATCTCCAAGTTTCCCTTTTTTTTGGAGGGGAGGGTCCTGTTGTGGGGCCTGAACTCTGGGCCTGGGCACTGTCCCTCAGCTCTTCAGCTCAAGGCTAGTGCTCTACCACTTGAGCCACAGTGCCACTTCCGGCTTTTTTCTTTTTGCTTATGTGGTGCTGAGGAATGGAACCCAGGGCCTCATGCATGCAAGGCAAGCGCTCTACCACTGAGCCACCTTCCCAGCTCCTCCAAGTTTCCCTTTTATCAGGTCATCAGTCATACTGGATTAGGCCCCATTCTAATAGATTCTATCTGAAAAGACTTTAACTTTCAAAGGAATTCACCTTCATAGCTACCTGGGCCTAGGACTTTATCATATTGTATCTTTCAAGAAGACACATTTCAATCCACAACTCCAACT